TTACAAATTAAACCTGTTCTGTTTTTTTTTAAATCGAAAAATCGTTTCGACATTTTCAATGCAGTAGCACTAGTTTTTGTTTAAGAGCCATTTTTCGTAGCATCAAAAAGAATCAAAACCTCAGTTTAGATGCTAGGATAATCTTTATGTTGCAGTTTATATGTTCAATTGACTGAAAGAACAATAAAAATGTTGAAATTCAATAAATACCTGCTCGGAGATATTGGGGACCAAATTAAAGAAAACTGATGATGGAACTCTGAAAAGATAAGAAGGTTGGGTCTCATGACTTTTATTGTTTTCACTTCCATTTTCATCTTCTTTATATTTAGTAATAATTTTTTTTATTGCCCTCCCGGTTTTAAAGCTTTGTCTCGACTAATCCGGACCGAACCACGTCACACACCTGGCTTTGGTGTGTAAGTTTCCCAACAGGAATTTCTTGCATACACAAATACTCAAACTCGATACATTGCTTAAATGATATCAAACTGCTTACTATTTGAACCAATCCCGTTGGTATATCTAATAATAATTTTATAGTGCAAGTAGAAAAGAAAAAAAAATGTACGTTGGGTTAGGTGCAATGACGTTAATTTTAAGAAAATTAAATTAAAGCATAGTTTTGTTGTTTATTATTGTATTCTTATATTTGGTTGTATGTGATATTGATATTTATTATGTGATATTTACTTGAGCAAATTTCACCTACTAACACAAAAGAAACCAGTACTGAATTACCACAGAATCCAAATTAAAATCAAATGATCAATGAACTAACAAACGAACCCCGATGATATCAAATAAACTGTCGATGACGATGATGATCCTATTGAAGATCATCTAATACCAAAAATCTGGGACGTAATTGACGACGATGGAAATATGAGGTCGATTTATACAGAGATCATCCGTGAGTGACAGAATTAAGAGCCAAATGGAAAGACAGATGAGCAGATGCAGGGACATTATCTAATACCTTCCTGCTTCTTTTAATATTTACAGTGGTCTCATCAGCCAGGGTGAGCGTTCAATTGAGTCGAGTCAAAAAAATTTGAGTTATTTGAGTTGACGAATTTTATTTTATAATCCGAAGTTGACTTGAAATTTTTTCGAGTTGGGTAAAGTACACAGATGATCCCCAAACTATGATGTGTTGCTTTGTTAGTTTTTCAACTATTAAAAGTTACAAAATAGTCTTCCGACTATGTGAAATTATTTTGTTGAGTCTCTCGACTATTGAAAGTTATAAAATGATCATCTGACTGATCATATATTCCAAACTCGTCATATTTTAGTAAAAAAATTAGCGGTCGTCCGAGCTAGACGTTAACATGTTGATTGAGACATGATAGTCGTTTGAGATTTTAGAATAGATTTTAGTATCTCTCAGTCAACATGTTAGCGTCAAACTCAGGTTGTTCTCAATTTTTTAACGAAAAATGATGAGTTTAAAATATATGAATAGTAGGGTGACCATTTTGTAACTTTTAATAGTCGAGAAACTCAACAAAAACAACATCCTATAGTCGGAAGACTATTTTATAACGTTTACTAATCGAGAGACTTAACAAAATAATACCTTATAGTTTAGGACGAATATAACATATTTTAATTAAAAATAATTTTAGTTAATTCTCAATTACATTGATGTTATCTGCAACATCAAAATCATGTGAGTTTTAGCCATGTTAGAGGTCCAAATTGTGACTCATTCATAGTGTCGCACATTATATATTTACAAACTCGAATTAAAACTTAAATTTTTTGTACGTATATCTCAGAATAATAGTGTGCAGATGTTTTGATATAAATGGTTTGGATTCGGTTTTTATGTTAAAGGATGAATGTATAGAATTTTAGAGGAGAATAAACTTATAGAACTTTAGAAGATGAAAATATATTATCAATAAAAAATATATAAAAAATTAAAAATATATAAAAATATATAAAAATTTTAAGAGGGTAATTGCCTCCACCTGTTCTCTTCGATACATTCTGCATATAATACAGATACTGCTTTGTTGGACGATGCTCATCGTGATCTACAGTGAACCCTGAAGCTGTGATTTAGCTTTAGTCTAGTTTTCTTTCTCTTTTAATAAAAAAACATTTGATTTTTATTTTTGGCCACATACTAATCACATGGTTGAATTTTTTATTAATTTATTTTGTCCATTTAATTGTAACTTTAGGCAAAATATTAATAACTTATTTTACTAAATAAAAGATTAATGATAAAAAGGGAGTTTTGAAACTTTAAAAAATAATTTAAATCTTATTATGTATATGAATTTGATTATAATAATAATAATGTAAATTTCCAATCTTTTATAGATGAATAAGAAAACTTATTTTACTATTAAAAGATTCAACATTTAAAAATCTAATCAATTGAAATTTACATCAATATAAAATAAATTTAAATAAAATTTAAATCATTATAAATAAAAGAATTAAAAATTAAAATCTTTTATGTTCTATAAGATATATATCATACCAGGAAAGAATAAAAAAAATCAAACAAATAACTAAGAAAAATAAAAGATACAGTAAAACACCATCATAAAAAATTTGGGTTAGAGTTACTAAATTTTTAATTCGATTTCCTTATAGTCATTACTAATAGAATATGCTTATGGGGATTCTTTTACCATAAAACCTTAATTATCTAAATTGCCAACAGTTGTAATATTTTTGAGTTTCTCATGAATGAATAGTGATTGATCAATCTCAATCGTTTTAGTTCTATTTTGTAGATCAAATATCTATTTACGTTATGTTATTAAGTCAATGCTTGAAATATTATACTGACGAACCAAAACAACAATAATGTTAATAGACATTATTAAAATATAATTTTATTATATATCTGTCGTATTTTCAACATTGCAATGCCCAATATCCAATCCATCAATGTCACCTGGAAGCACAATCTGGTAGTTATAGATGTTACAATAGCTTACAACAATTTCTTTACTTACACTACCAAAGTTTAATTACAATAAAATTACGACGAAGGGGTCCAAAAGAGACTTGGGTTGGGGACCATCCCATTCCACTGATTCCCACCACTCCTTTGGTCTTATCCGAACTGAAAGAGAAAGATTTGTAGATGCAGATGGTGGGACATTATCAAATTTGGGAAGATTAAGACTCATCCTCTTTAATCTTGGACAGTCTACAATCTCAATTTGTAGAAGATAATCACAAACCAGTACTCCTCCAGCACTGCAAATGCTCTTCAATTCCGGTATATGACTCAACACCAATTTCCGTAATTGTGGAAGATGAAACTCCGTGATAACCATTCCTCTTTCCTCCGTTTCAACTTCTGATGCTATTATTTCCTCCAATTGCTCACACCCACCAACTCTAAGCTCTTGTAAATTTAGCGGTACACAGTTTGGGGAGAACAACTTTTTCATATTTCTGCAACCATATATTTGAAGAAATTTAAGAGATGAAAAGGAGCCAATTGAGAAGAGGATAAACCTGGAGAAAAGCGGGTATTCTTCACTGCAATCAACATTGCAAAACCAGATACGCAATCCCTCAATGTCATGTGGAAGCACAATCTGGTAGTTATAGATGTTACGACCACTTGCAACAATAGCTTTTCTCACAACTTCAGAAAACTTAGGAAAGTCCATATCTCCCACAAAGATTCTGAATTGACGTGGTTGTTCTCGGCCACGACAAGCTTCGAGATACATATTAAGTTGTGCAGGTCATAAAACCTCCCTCCAAGAGTTCCCTGCAGTTTCTTTAATCCACCAACCTCCTTTCCATTTATCAGAGTTTCACCGACGATCAAGTCTTGAAGACAACAGAGTCTTGAAAGTACTCCATTCGGGATCTCATTTAGGTTCTTTGACTGATCCAGATTTAGATGCTCGAGACTCACCAAATTTTCCATCCCATGAGGGATTCTTTGATATTTGTTCCTCGAAGATCCAACTTCCTTAAAACTCCAAGATTTGACAACGATGGAACATTCCCTAAATCTTCACAACAATCAAGCAACAGTGAAGTGAGGTTCTTCAAATTTGATAAGGAATGCGGAAGACTCTGATAGGATTCCAGGAAAGATCAAGAATCTTGAGTTCATTCATATCATCGAAGAAGCTTTCTGGAATACTTTCTATACAACAATCAGAGAACAACAATGTTGTGAGCCCGAGACACTTCGACAAGGAAATTGGAAGACTCTTGATAGGGTTGAAGGAAAGATCAAGAACCTTAAGTGCATCCATATGCTTGAAAAATCCTTCTGGAATACTTACTATATTGCACTGAGACAACAACAATGTTGTGAGCCTGGGACACTTTGGGGGTGACATTTCTAAAGGTATATGTAACCACTGATTCCCCATCAACGAAACTTTCTCTAGATTCATGCTCCATTCTTGCACATCTGGTACCTTTTTCAACATCAATCCAGCTTTTACCAAGAATCGAGATTTTGCGATACGCAATGCCATGTCCCTTAAAAGATCATGCATCTTTACAGTTCTTGCATGTTCTCCTTCAGTAAAAACTTCTAACAAACAATGCTAATGAGTCTATTCATTATTGCACGACCATTGTCATACTCTGCCTGCATGCTATCCATTTCTTCCACAAGCCCTTCTGCGATCCAAAGTTGAATAAGACCTTCCTCCACAATTTCCTTGTCTTCTGGATATAATGCAAACTGAGGAAACAATCTTGAAGTTTGGATTCTTTAAACGATCATAACTAAATTGTAATTGTTGGAACACTTCATCTTCGAATCCATTAACACTCTTTTTGCGTAGACTTAATTCTTTTAGTGCATTCCTCCATTCCGAGATGTCATCAATGCCCTTCAGACAAGAAGCTATAGTAATATTCCAAGGGCAAACCTGCACAACGTTTAGCAATTGATCTTGCAATTGGTTCCGCCCCTCGAATATTGAGAATATCACAACCCGCCTTCTCTAAGAACAACTCCCATGCCTCTTCTTCCATCAGAGGCTTCACTTTAATAACTCTACAACCCACTTGTCGACACACATCGGCTGATCTGTTGTCAACACTAATTTAATCCCATTCAAGTACGACTCAGGAATTCCTATTCTCTCAAGGTAAACCTTCTCCCATAGGTCATCCAAGATCATCACAAACCTACTCTTTTGAGACAATGTTTCAAAGAGAATCCCTGCCCTCGTTGTTTCATCTTCATCACCGTAAAATTCTACTCCAATTTTACTAGCAATGTCTTTCTGCAGTTTAGAAATACTCATCTCCTTGGATACAGTGATCCAAATCACAGTATCGAATTTTTCGGTCTCTTTTAAGAGTTGGTTGTTTATAACCTTCATGATGCTTGTTTTCCCAACGCCACCCATCCCCCAAACTCCAATCTTTTGAACTTCGTCATCCATCAAGCAATGCCAGATATCTTCAACGCATACCTTTACAGCTTCACCTGATAAATTTGTTGTCGACAAAACTTGTCCGATCCATTGAGGATTGTCAACCACCAAACCTCCATGAAATTTACCGTGTTGAGTAATAAGTTCAGAAGCTTCCTTTATACTCTTTAACACATCTTCTCCGTGAAATCCACGTGTAAGAGCACTGCTTTCACCAATTCTTCCATCAAGGTCTTGTACGTCACCATTGATTCTTTCAACATTTTCCAACCATATCTGGACTTCAGCCTTGAGTTTCTTTCTTGGCTGCAGCTCTGTTCTAATAATAGATTCTGTATCTTCCTTAAGACCATTCAATTCCTTTAATTTCCTTTTAAGGTCCTTCATTCGCTGATCAAAGCTTCTATGATTGTCCAAGTGTTTATCTATCTTATTCAGGACAAGTCCATGGCTGCAAATCACAAGCAATATGTTAGAAACTAAATAATAACGCATCATCAGGTGAATGTAAATAAAAATGACTAAAAAACAATTTCATTTAACCCAATTTTTTTAAGGAAATAATTATGTAAACAAATAAATTTTACCCTCTCATGAATAATCAAAATAAATTAATAGGGCATAGATATATAGAGTCGATCCCTTGAAATTAGCTTGTCATGGTTAATTTTTTTAAACAAAAAAGAAAAAGGATAACATTAAGAAATACTTGTTACGGTTTAAGTTGTTCGGAGATGATGACTGGGCCGAACCACAAATAAAAAGAAAAGCAGCCAAAAGGCGTTCCTTACTTGCTGATATGATGGCACACCGCTAGAAGAGAGGCACTCCAAAGGGTTCCTTCACGTGTAATTACAATCATGAAAAGGGAACTCTTTTGTTGCGGTTTATGAGGTTTGAAAGAACAATACAAAATGTGAAATGCAATATATACCTCTTCTAATTAACTTGAGAGGAAACGATGACCGGAGAGAAGCAGCCAAAAAGGTTCATTGTTAGCTGATAATATGTGCCACTCCCAAGGGTTCTCTTGAATCACCTACGCTTAAGGAGTATAAGGACTAGTGGCATAATTTTATTATTTTCCTTTAACTTCAAATAAAAGGGCAAAACTAAAAAATCGAACATATAAAAAGATGATAAACGAACATCTTAGAGAACGCTAAACGAACATGTTGGTAAACGCAAAACGAATATTCGCGAAGGATAAATAAACGAACACGAAACATTCAAAATAAATAAACGAACAAAAACACAACATTAAAAAATTAAATGAACACGAACCGAACATGAACACCTTAAAAATAAACAAACGAATATGGACATAACTTTATTTGTTCAAGCTCGGTTCATTGATACCGCTAAAATAAATAATTAAAGATAATTTAGTAATAATTCCACGTCAACTAAATTTAAATAAATAATTTCACCATAAAAAGTGTGCAAATAATATAATAAAATGAAGTATAAATAGAGTAAGAATTCATCAAATTAAGCTTCTCTTACATAAGAAGATAAAAACACTGCCAATGTTACAAACTCAACTGCTCCGTTTCATCCTCCCATTACCTTTTACCAAAATCTCACGAAGGGGTCGAAAAGAGACTTGGGTTGGGGACCATCCCATTCCACTGATTCCCACCACTCCTTTGGTCTTATCCGAACTGAAAGATAGAAATTTGCAGATGCAGATGGTGGGACATTATCAAGTTTGGGAAGATTAAGACCCGTCCTCTTTAATTTTGGACAGTCTACAATCCCAATTTTGTCAAGAGAATCACAAACCAGTACTCCACCAGCACTGCAAATGCTCTTCAATTCCGGTAGATCACTCAACGACAATAGCCGTAATTGTGGAAGATGAAACTCCGTGATAACCATTCCACTTTCCTCCGGTTCAACTTCTGATGTTATTATTTCCTCCAATTGCCTACACCCACCAACTCTAAGCTCTGTAAATTTAGCGGCACACAGTTTGGGGAGAACACTTTTTCATATTCCACAATCATTTATATAAAGAGATTTAAGAGATGAAAAGGAGGAAAATGAGAAGAGGATAAACCTGGAGAAAAGCGGGTATTCTTCGCTGCAATCAACATTGCAAAAGGTAAAATCCAATCCCTCAATGTCACGTGGAAGCACAATCTGGTAGTTATGGATGTTACAACCTTACAACAATTTCTTTTCCTTCTTTTTTCATATTCAGAAGACGGATCAAAATATATCTCCCACGAAGATTGTGTATTGACGAGGCTCTTCTCGGCCACGACAAGCTTGGAGATACATATTTAAGTTGTGCCAGTCATAAAACCTCCCTTCAAGAGTTCCCTGCAGTTTCTTCAATCCACCAACCTCCTTTCCATTTATCAGAGTTTCACCGACGATCAAGTCTTGAAGACAACAGAGTCTTGAAAGTACTCCATTCGGGATCTCATTTAGGTTCTTTGACTGATCCAGATTTAGATGCTCGAGACTCACCAGGTTTTCCATTCCTTCAGGGACTTGCTTGATCATTGTCCTCGAAGATCCAACTTCCTTAAAACTCCAAGATTTGACAACGATGGAACATTCCATAATTGTTCACATCAGCAAGCAACAGTGAAGTGAGGTTCTTCAAATTTGATAAGAATGCGGAAGATCTTGATAGGATTGGAGGAAAGATCAAGAATCTGAGCTCATTCATATCATCGAAGAAGCTTTCTGGAATACTTTCTATGCAACAATCAGAGAACAACAATGTTGTGAGCCCGAGACACTTCGACAAGGAACTTGGAAGACTCTTGATAGGGTTGAAGGAAAGATCAAGAACCTTAAGTGCATCCATATGCTTGAAAAATCCTCTGGAATACTTACTATTGCACTGAGACAACAACAATGTTGTGAGCCTGGGACACTTTGGGGGTGACATTTCCAAGGGTATATACCACTGATTCCATATCAACGAAACTTTCTCTAGATTCATGCTCCATTCTTGCACATCTGGTGCCTTTTCTAACTTCATTCCAGCTTTTACCAAGAATCGAGATTCTGCAATACGCAATGCCATGTCCCTTAAAAGATCATGCATCTTTACAGTTCTTGCATGTTCTTCTTCAGTAAAAACTTCCAACAAGCAATTGCTGATGAATCTATTCATTATTGCGCGACCATTGTCATACTCTGCCTGCATGCTATCCATTTCTTCCACTAGCCCTTCTCTTATCCAAAGTTGGATAAGATCTTCCTCTTCAATTTCCCAATCTTCCGGATATAATGCACAACTGAGGAAACAGTCTTGAAGTTTGGACTCTTAAACGATCATAACTAAATTGTAATTGTTCGAACACTTCATCTTCGAATCCATTAACACTCTTTTTGCGTAGCCTTAATTCTTTTAGTGCATTCCTCCATTCCGAGATGTCATAAATGCCCTTCATACAAGAAGCTAGAGTAATTATTCCCAAGGGCAACCTGCACAACGCTTAGCAATTGATCTTGCAATTGGTTCCACCCCTTGAATATTGAATATCACAGCCCGCTTTCTCTAAGAACAACTTCCATGCCTCTTCTTCCATCAGAGGTTCACTTAATTTCTCTACAACCCATTTTGTCGACACACATCGTCTTTTCTTGTTGTCAACACTAATTTACCCCATTTGACAGCTCAGGAATTCCTATTCTCTCAAGTGAAACCTTCGCCCATAGGTCATCCAAGATCATCACAAACCTACCCTTCTGAGACAAATTTTCAAAGAGCATCCCTGCCCTTGTAGTTTCTTCATCTCCAGAAAATTCTACTCCGATTTTACTAGCAACGTCTTCTGCAGTAGCAATACTCGTCTCGTTGGATACAGTGATCCAAATCACAGTATCGAATTTCCCCCTCTCTTTTAAGAGTGGTTGTTATAAACTTCATGATGCTTGTTTTCCCCACGCCACCCATGCCCCAAACTCCAATTTTTTAACCCCATCATCCATCAAGCACTGCCAAATCTCTTCAACACAGGCCTTTACAGCTTCACCTGATAATTTGTTGTCGATAAAACTTGTCCGATCCATTGAGGATTGTCAACCACCAAACCTCCATGAAATTACCCTGTTGAGTAATAAGTTCTTCAACTTCCTTTATACTCTTTGACACTTCTGTGTGAAATCCACGTGTAAGAGCACTACTTTCACCGATTCTGTCATCAAGGTCTTGCACTTCGACATTGACTTTCAACATTTTCCAACCATATGGACTTCCGCCTTGAGTTTCTTTCTCGGCTGCAGCTCTGATCTCATTATAGATTCGGTGTCTTCCTTCAAACCATTCAATTCCTCCAATTTCCTTTTAAGGTCCTTCCGATGTTGATCAAGGCTTCTATGATTGTCCAAGTGTTTATCTATCTTATTCAGAACAAAGTCCATGGCTGCAAGTCACAAGCCATATGTTAGAAACTAAATAATAAGCATCATTAGGTGAATGTATCTAAACATGACTAAAATATAACTTCATTTTATTCTAAAAAATGTTTAAGAAATTATAAAGATTTAAATCAAGAAGTTTCACCCTCTCACGAATAATCAAATTAAATTAAACAGAACTTTAAGAGAGTGAAATTTCAAAATTTAAAGGCATAAAATAAAATAATTAATAAAAAATGCAAAAAAAAACTGAATTATAAGATACTTTTTGGGTACATGGTTGTCTATAAACAAAATTTAACAATAAATTTAAGGTCTATTGACATAATGAATAATCAAGTGCCTTTTTTTTCTTTATAGTTGACTAATAATAAATAGTTTAAGACGAATACGATGGTGATTTCAAATCGACGATCGGCGGCGTCGGAATCGGGTTTGGAAGTTGTGTGCGAGAGGAAGAATTTGGGAAAATTGATTTTGTTTTGAAAACAGAAATCGACCTCAATAATTAAGGGGAGTTTTGTTCTCATTAAAGGTGTTGTGTTCGAACAATTGCGTTTACAAGTACGTGCGTTGTCAATAATTAAAAAAGATTATGAACATCTTGTAATCACCTAAACTATTTTTAAAAATTAATGTGTTTTATCTTTTTGTTATCAATCATTTATTACAACTAATACTATTTATTTGGCATTATCATTTACAATATTCAATCTTTATGATAATGAAATTTGCTTTCATCTTTGCTGTTATGTTTCTATTAATCTGATTAAAAAATAAACTAATAATTTATTCTTAGATTTCCGATATTGAAAACATGCAAATTAACAATCTAAGGCTATCTCCAACCCTCATCTCAACTCTACAGCATCTATATCCCTGCTCTAAAGATGAAACAATAATTCATCTCCAGCACTATCTCTACGTTATCAACAACTCTACTTTATTCACAATATTTAACTATTATAATATTGATTTTGCAAATATAAAATAAAACATATACATTTATAATAAATATCAAGATAAAAAGTATAAATCAAACATTCATAAATAACATTGCAAAAATACAGAGAAAATTGGAGAATTAAGATCTCTTCCTTCTACAATTGGAGAATTAAGATCTTGCAATTTAATCTACTTGAATTTATTATATTATGTTTAATTTTTATTTTATTGTTTAGAAATTACAATAAAAAATAAAAGATAGAATAAAGAGAAAATAATGCAAAAAATCAGAAAAATAACAAAAAAATGTAGCGCAGCTACAGTGCAACTCTACATGTAGCGCGCAACTGTAGCTGGAGCACTATCTCTACTCCAAAGTGGCGATCGGCTGGAGCAATATCTCTACTCCAAAGTGGAGATTTTCTTTACTCCAGCGATGCGTGGAGTGGTCTAATGCAAATTGATATAATTGTAAACTAAAGTGATGCTACAATAATTAAATAATTTATAAGGGTATTTTAAAATGATTTTACAAAATACTTTTAGTCCAATTAATCAAAATTATATTTAATTTACATTTTAATAAAAATCTATATATTTCCTTTAATGAAAAATTAAAATACAAAACGAAAACTAAAAGTTAAATTCTAACCATAAGGAAATTATCATTAACAAGAAAAAGGATAATGTAATCTTAAAATAATATAAAGGAAATAATTTTAATTAAACATTTTATGAGTATTTTAAAAGAATTAAAAAATATTAACTTTTTAGAACACAAATCCTAAATAATATGTAGGGTAAACTATAATGGTGACCATTTAACTATTGTCATATTTCATTTTGACCACCGATGCTTTGATTTAACCAGTCAGATCAGTCAACTATTTAAATGCTTCAATCAAGTCACTATTCGTTGACTTTTAATGGGAGAGCTGATGTGGCAATTAAGAACTTGGTATAATTACATATTTAGTCCTCAATATTTATACATTCTATCAATTTGGTCATAATTTAATTCAATTAAAATAAATTTAATCTCCAATTAGATGATGACTTGTGTCACTACCTGATTAGAGAATACTTTTTTAAGTTTTATTTATTTAATCTAATGAATTTTTCATCCAATAAGGTGGTCACCAACCTATTAAAGAGAGAAAATAAACGGGAGGAATGCATTAGGGGCATCAAACCTAAGACATTCTAAAGCCAAGCACGCCTGAACCACTCGGCTAAGCCTCCCATTTGGTTCTATATTACAACATGTTTTATATAACTTATTTCAATTAATGATAGGAAAAATGAAGTGAAAATGATATCAAGAAGATTCAAACCTGAGATTGTAAGCATGGATGAAACAATCATAACTACCAAGTCAAATCACATATTTAAAGAAGATTTTTAGTATCTTTTATATATTCGTATTTTTACAAAAAAAATATTTATCATAATATTGTTATTGATATAAAAATAAAAAAAAGTAATTCAGATGACATTTAACTTTTAATATTTTTAAAATTTTAAACAAAGAGAAAATAATATTTATTTTCAAAACAAATTCAATATTTTTTTATATTTTTAAACAAAATTTATGAAAGAATTCATTTCATATAAAAATAAAAATATTTTTATATATTAAAAAATAAGTTTTATATTTTTAATATTTTTAAACAATTATATTTAATGCGAGATTCAAAAATATATAAAAAAACATCGAATTCAGTTTTAAAAATAAAATACTAAACTTATTTTACTTTGTTTTAAAATATAAAAATATTAAAAATAAATAAATATCATTTGTTTATATGAATATATATAAAATACCAAAAATTTTATTTAAATATGTGATTTGACTAGGTGGTTATGATTTTTTTCATCTATGCTTACAGCTCCATATTTGAATCTCTCTGTTAGCATTTTCATTTCATTATTTTTTTTTTGTCATTAATGGGAATAAATGGTTGTCCCTTGTTCCCATATGTAATGGGGTAAGAGGAGATAAGATAGTAGGCTACCCCCAACACTAGGTTAAGAGCAGCTTCCGACCTCCAAATTATGAAATATCCTTTATCTAAAGGTTATCTAAAGGCTAATATGGTGTCTCAGTTTAATTCCTCCTTTGGTTTATCTTCTCTTTAATTCGGGGGGTAACATGTGTCTTCATTTTATTGGCTAAAAAATTATTAGATTAAATAAATAAAAATTAAGAAAATATCTTCAAATAAGGTAGTTCTAAATATGAAAAGGAATCTATTATACAGCCCTTTATGAGCTTTGAAGAAGAAAAAAGAATGTTGAAATTCCATATATACCCCTTTTGAGAAGCTTGTTCGAAGTCGATGATCGGAGAGAAGCAGCTGATGAAGAAAACGGCCAAATGAAGTTGCTTGGTTTGCAGAAGAGCCGCTATTCACTCACCTGAGCTTAAACTAAGCTTCACCTTCAACACAGAGGAAAGCAGTGCGAAAGGTAACATGTATCATCATCTTATTTGATTAAAAATTTATTAAATTAAATAAATAAAAATTAAGAAAATATGTAGTTCTAAATACAAAAAAGAATCTATTCTACAGCCGTTTATAAGCTTTGGGGAAAAAAAGAATGGTTAAATTCCATAAATACCTCTTTTGAGAAGCTTGTTCGAAGACGATGATCGGAGCGAAGCAGCTGATGAAAAAACGGCCAAATGAAGTTCCTTGGTTTGCAGAAGAGCCGCTATTCACTCACCTGAGCTTAAACTAAGCTTCACCTACAACACAGGAAATTTCTGGGAAAATATGAGGAAGCTCCGCTGCAACCAACTTTAAAGAAAGAAAGGTAATGGAAAATTCTTTCTAGGAAAATATGAGGAAGCTCCGCTGCAACCACTTTAAAGAAATGCAAATAGAAGCTTGGTTTGAAATTATTGCCCTTCTTTACTGCTTTTAAGTCGTGTTGTGCCCTAACTGTCTGAAATAATGTTGGAGCCGTAGAGCCTGACATTATTGACTAATGAAATCTCTCTTCTTTCTTTAATTTTCTATGACAACGATGTTCACGCGTCTGCTTTGGAAGCGGTCCCTCTTTAAAATATTACATTATTGAATTAATTTCAGAAAATGTCAAAAATAAAAAAAGACCCAAATCGAAAACCAATGTCAGGATCTTTGAAAAGATGGAAGCAATAACATTGAAATAATTTACCATCAAGCATGAAATTTCTCAGGAATTATGAGAATCAAAACAAACTGAGAGTTAGAGATTGAAGTTACCTGATAATTCTGTTTGCCACGGAAGAAAAAACACGAAACCATCATGGAAAGGATCAACAATTTTCCCATAAGGGAAAGCAGGAGAAAGTGCCAAGTTGAAAGAAGGAAGCTGCCATGGAAGACTCCCAAATGTAAAGAAGATGACCTAATTTTAATAGTATTTATTCAAAGAATCTTAATCATTTGTCAATAAGTATTTGAATAAATTACATAACTATATTTTCTCTCTTATTTTATTCAATTTACTCTATTCATAAACGTCACGACTTAAATTTATAATCTGGTTTAAGAGATCTGATGTCTCTTTAGTCTAATTGTCAGTAAAAAAATCATATATTTGAAAACATGTGTAAGAAAATGAAGAAACTATATTGACATGATGGTGTTACCGGTGCGCATACGAATCCAGTACGAAATGGGCTTGTTTTTTCTCATCTTCTTGACTAGCTTCTTCTTGATCTTGAAGGTCTTATGTGAATATTGTCATATCTAAATAAATCATTATATACCTTAGAACTGTATTTCAAAACCCAACATTCTTTGCACATAAATAGTGATAATAACCTGCCATTTTGAAAGAAAAAAAAGGTGAGTTTCGCTTGATACCTCTGTTTTGAAAACTGTATCGGACCGACCGGTTCAATCGGAAATCGTTACTTAGTCCGGTCTAATTTAAACTGGTTGAACCGTTATTAGTGAACCGACCAAAACCGCTGAACCGTTCGAACCGGACCGGCTGAAAATCGAAAAAAATCGGGGAAAACGGGAAAACCTGGAATTTTGTTTTTTTTTAAAAAAAAAATTAAACCAAACAACATCGTTTGTTAAACGAGCCAAGTCGAACTCGAGTATTGCTGAACTCGACTCGAACTTGAAAACTTTAAAAGTAAGCTCAACTAAACTCAAACTCACAAGCTAAAAATTATCAAGTTCAACTCAAACTCGAAATATAATATTGAAACTTAAACTCAAAAAGACTTGAACTCAAAAAAAATTTAGAAGCTTGATTGAAGCCTAAAATTCGAGCTTGATTGAAGTGAAAGAATAGTTCACTCAATGCTTACCAAAAGGCTCCATGATTTTGAATGCCAAATTACTTCTATTATTTATAGAAGTTAGTTTTAATGTTCTTCTATGTTTCTTAGCAATGTGAGATTGTTTTGTTCTCATATTTTTACTCTTTAGACTTTTGGGATGCTCTTCTATGTTTCTTAGCCATGTGGGATTGCTTTTTTTTAAAAAATTAAACCAAACAATATCATTTTGTTATGATTTTTTAACCCTAAATTTATTTTTTAATTATAGTTATATAATTATATTTAATATGTTTTACTTTAAATATTATGTTGTAGTTAATTTGAATCATTTGTTTCACTTGATTTTATGGTTTTTAACTTATATATGTTATGACTTACTTGAATATGACTTGTGATATAAAAAATTATTTTTATTAAATTTTTGGTATTTTTATTTAATTTTTAAATATGACGTCGTCCGGTTCTTCCGACCGGTCGGACCGGTTCGACCGATTGAACCAGTGAACCGATAGCATGACCGGTTCGCTAACCGGTCCGGTTCTGAAAACCATGCTTGATACCCTCGAAGGTTTAACATACACACTCTGCAAATACAGTTACCCGAACTCAAAATTTCAAAAGAAAGTAATACTCATTTTAATCATTAAGATCACTCAATAGATTAACAATAATTAACGGTCGATGAATCAAAAATATATTAAATCTATAACGTAAAGGGACCAAAATCGATTTTTTAACCAATGACTAAAATTCAATAGACAAAAAACATAAAGGACCATCCATGTAATTTACCCTAAAAATTTATTAAGTTGAAGAGTAATCTCCCCAATAAGAAAGTGAACGGTTGAAATCTAATCATTTCTTTTTCTTTTTTTATTTCTTTTTTTTTTCTTATCTCACGCACCTAATTTTGCTAAACGAGTCTTTCAATAAGGATATTTTACATACACAAAGATTCGAACTCGAGACCTTACTTAAGTGATATCAAACTACTTATCACTTGAATCAATCTATGTTAATGAATCTAATTATTTCTTAAAAACTCATTTAAGTCTCTCATTCAAGTAAAATTGTCTCAAGAATTCTATTAACTATATAATTTATAATTTCAAGTTATATCGTTAATCGTTTTGGTTAATGGAACGTTAGTTTCTACTTAGGCGGACACCAACTATTTCCACATCAGATGAATGAAGTTGTAATTTCTCATTTTTTTTTCTTCAACCATCTCAAAATTATATAGTTTTTAAAGTAAATATGTATCACCAATTTAAGTTTCCTTCCCCATATTTTTTTACTTTATTTTTTTCCTTCTCCAAGTCTTACACCCGTGCTCTCAACTCTCAGGTATGGTTGCACCATTAGTCAGTCATTGACCACCTTTGACCATTGCTGACCATTGCGTCGACTACTGTCGTCGACCACCGTTCGAGACCCAAAACACATCATCAAAACTAGTTCGTGCTCCTCGTCATGGTCAGGTTTATGGCTTGTAATGGGTCAAAAATTTGTGGTTTTAATATTTAAAATATTTTTAATTTTTAATAAATGTCACATCATCATCAAGTCAGGACAACAATATTGGTTGACGTGGAAACAATTAACATCCACATAAGCAGAAACAAACGGCTCCGTTAGTCAAGACAATCGATGGTATAATTTGATGCAATTAAACAACTTCGATGACTAAATTGATACGAAAATACGATAGAGACGAAATTGATAAATTGAGTTTACTACAGGAACAACATTGACCCTTTAACTAAAAACCACGTCAACAATATTGACTGACGTGGAAAGTGGAAACAGTTGGCGACCACATAAGCAGAAACTAACGGTTACGTTAGTTAAGACGGTCAACATAATAATTTGATGCAATTGAACAACTTCGAATGCTAAATTAATGCGGAAATACGATACGAACGAAATTGATAAATTAAGTTTACTATAGGGGCAACACTAACCCTTTAGCCTATTAATTAATAAATATTATTATATTGTCTAATTCGACAGATGATACAACAAAAAAAAAAGATGATGACGACCAAGATGACATCGTTGAAGAAAAATTCAAATATTTCCAAGATCAGAAAAAAAATGCAGAAAATGGAAAAATAGGTACCCATTTACTAATCAGTATCATGTATAATATTAGATGATACTACAAACACCTCATTTGGATCAATTTTGTATAAACCAATCCATCGATACAACTCTTTTCAAAAAAAAAAATCCATTGAAACACCAGTTCTGAGAGGAATTCAGATACAGAAAACTACTATTTTGAATTTAATCCATGTTCATACTTGTGCCATGTATGCTGTATGGTTCACTGACCTGGTAATTGCGGAACCATATGTGGTCATCAACGATCGATATAACGAAGACACGATGATGATGATATGATGGTCATCATCAATGGTCAAAAGAAACAACCAAGCAATCACTCGGCTACTAATCCAATGGACCAACATGGGCAAGGAAGATGTGGCCTGGGAGGATTTCACGATACTGAAAGCTCAATTTCCCCATTTTGATCCTCTATTGGAGGGGTTATTGTCACGATGAAGGCTGAATTAGGGTTTGACTATCCTGAATTGGGGGTTCAATTGGAGTGAAAATCGGGAAAAGGGTTAGAGATCGAAGCCCACGAACCTGGAAAGATCTATGACAGATCTGGGGACTAGCCATAATGGGGGCAACGCGATCATAACGAGCCCCATTCGTTACGTGATATTATGTTGTTTTTGTGAAGTTTTACGCATTCTCGTTAATATTATTTTAATTTAGTTTAATTAAAGAAAAAGCAGCGTTGAAATGCTTGTTAATAAAGCTTCAATGAATTGTTTTAAAAAGTGAAAGTAGTTTAATAATTTACAACAAAAATTTGAATACCTTTAATAGAAAACTGCAGTAAGAACTCCTTCAAAAATGATCTTTTCAGCTTATAGGATAACCCTGCAACCTAAATCCTGTGTGGGATACATGCATTTCAAATTTATGGAGATGACCCTTTTCGAAGTTCATTAGCTCTCATTCGGTAATACGAGGTGATCTCGACCTTCGACTGGCTTGGCGGATTTTATGACATCTCCGGTTCTTATCTGTGGTAGAATCTCTCTTCCAGCAGTTGTGTATCTGTAAGTTGAAATTAAGTTCATATTGAAAAGTCTAACCAACAATCACCTCATACATATATGCATGTATAGCATAAGATGACATTCACATTACCCGAATACGGAAAATTGACCTTCATCGAACGATATGCCTCCCAAACCAGACTATGAACAAGTAAGTCATCAGTATACTGCTTTAACCAAATTAATCAAAGATGTATTGGACATGCAAAGTTGAGGGGAGAATAGAAATAGACTATGTTACTCATTTATCGACACATATTCGGTTAAGGATACGAGGAATGATCATCTAAATATGTGAAAAAAACTTTAGAAAGTTCGAGTATACTCGTACTGGATGCATACCTATCTCAGACACCTACATTGAGTCTGAGGAACATAGGAAGTAGATAGTAGCACTGAATTAGATGGAACATTGAATATACTTACATTTCTTTTATCGTATAG